ACCTAATGAAACTAAGCTAGTTTTCAGTGTAGTCATTAACAGACTTTGGTGGCCTACGCATCAGAAGGACATAGTTTGTAAATGGAAGTAGTACCTTTCATTAACTCAATTGGATTAGTGGGAAAAATAAAGAACCTTTCCAGACATACAGATCTGTCAAGAACTGTGTCTGCTTATTTCTTCTAGCAACAGCTTTTTCCAGTCAGTCTAGTTAAAAGCACTATCTCTATCTAAAAATCTTCTCCTGGAGCAAAGGTTCTAAAAACTCTTACACATGCCATCAGAGAAGTTTGCCACCGCCATGCCCCAGTCACAGCTAGGTCAACCTTGCAGCTGCTTCTGTAAATATGACCTCTTGAGATACATTGGGGCATTCATCCAGAAATATTGAACCCACACAAAATGGTAATATCTGATGCTTTAACATCAGTTTGAAAAAATAGTCAAGAAGACCAACATGAGTGATAAAACCAGTACACGATAAAGGAGCAGAAGCCAGTGTAATTACCTAACCAATCTCATATAAAGCAGACCATTGCACCACCAACTTAGTTCTTGTGTGACAGAGACCAATGCTTGAACTAAATCAATACTCGCTCTGTGTAGGTCTGAATCACTCTTGCCCTTTAACCACTTCAGCTATATGATGCACTCCTAATCCTTTCCTCAGGCTTCACTTGGTATTTACTTCATGTAGAGGTGAGATAAAATCATTATTATTTCATTTAATTCTGATATCATATGGGGTAGCATAATTTGAATCCAGTCTGGCTCTAAAGAATTAGCTTTAAGAAAATATGAGTGAAAGATTTTTCTCTGTACGAAATGTCAACTTTAAATTTGGCAGTTTGTTCTTTTGTTACCTTTCTTTTAAAACACAGAACTATTTCTCCTATTACTTTCTGAGTTACATAAAACATGTTCATAATCTTTACTGTTTTTTTCTCCCCAAGATGATATTTAAAGTAATACACAAGATTCTGAAATTGCAGCACTGCCTGTGATTAAGGCTCAGGGAAATGTATTTTACTTGCTCTGAATGATCTCATATTTAAATAAAAGAACACTTTAAAGAAACACAAAGCACTTAAAAATGACACATTTCTTTCTCTCTCAGTAATTTTCCACCTTCTACTGTCTTAAATAAGGAAAGTTTGTACTTCAGCATAAACTTTCACAGAAAACTAATCAACAGAATGAATGCATTACTAGGATATAATGGCTGAAATTACCACAGCAGAGTGGTTTTGTAGCTATGTTGGTACCTTCATTAGGCAACTCAGGCTGAGCAGGTAACGTGTGTATGCAGGGGTATATCCAGATATAGATGACATATTGAGAGAGAAAGGTAGGCAGAAGATGGGGCTATAAGAGGACATGAGGTTCCAAGGGTGAAAATCCTGGAACAAGGTTGTATTTTGTTGGGATTCCCAAGATGAGATTAATTCCTTTCTGGTTGGGCTGGCCTGGCTCTGTGCAGAGTAGTCATACAGGTCTGAATTCTCCCCTCTGTCTATATCGTGCTGTTCTGTGATGCTATTATGATATGTTACTGGTCACTTGTCCTTTTTTTCTAATTTTCCTTTTATTGACTTTATCTGCCCTACTTCTCAGCTTTCACTCTAGGCACTTTTTCTCCAGGTTTTCTGCTCCCATGCTCTCACTTTTTCAGGAATTTCAGTTTCTCAGTCTCTTTTTAAAGTCAACCTTCCTGCCTTCTTTTTTCTCTTTCTTCTCTTTGTGTTCCTTCCTTTTGTTTTCCTTGCATTCTTTCTTTCTTAATACTGCTCTGACTAGGTCTATTTTACTCTTTCTTCCTGATCATAACTGGAGTTGAACTTTCCGCACTCCCAGCCTTTTCTGCACTTCCCCTCCATTGTCTACATAATTTCCAGTCGATTTTTGCTTTCTTTAGTCATTTCCTTTCTCTGCCTCCTGGGCATGCAAGACAAGCTATTCACTTTCAGAAACAGAAAACAAGCAGCAAGTCTACTGAAAAGTCCCTGAGCAAGGCAGGACAAGTAATAGTTATTACCAGCTTTCCAGCATCAGCTGAGACTGCAGTAAGGCAGTCTCATACAGAGCTGAGGATGTAGTCTGGGACTCCTCGCATGATGCCACCATACTGTGAGCAGTAGGAGCAGAGAATAACTTCTCGTTGGGATGGATGTCATGGCTGAAGCTTAACTGAGAAATGGAGTATTTAGATGAGAGGGGAAACAGGCTTATCCTCATCCTTTAGAAAGACAGTCAGCTGGAATCCCGTTATAATGTTTATTCCCTCGTAAAGAATATACTTGAAGGGGTAGCCTGGGATTACTCCTCTTGACTTATCGACTCAGCAGGATTCACTGATCTTGAATGCCAGTGATACCTATCTGGCAGTTCACTCCTTGCAGTGCTGTTGCTTGAGATGATTTTTGGATTTGGGCAAACAACACGCATCTTGCATCAAATTTTCCACATGTTTTTACAACCAAGACTAGTTTGTGGAGTTTTTTTAAGCTCTGATTCTGATCTCATGTGTGTAGATAGTATTGTCCCACAGTGTCACACTAGTAGCGTCCATGTCTTTGCCTGCGCTGGGTGGGAGTCATAGCCAGACTGCTCTTCCTTTCCATAAGCACGAGTCTCACAGTCATTGTAAATCTCAGTGCTCTTTTCCTCACATCTTTTCTGTTTCCATTCCTGCCATGTATTCCTGTACATTTCAAGTTTCATGCAACCATGAAGAAATCTGCTCTTGGTCTCAGATCTGTCTCCTCCTCTCTTAATCCAGCCCATTTATGCTTAGACATGGAGTCCATACATGATGCAGTGTTTCAGCTGTCCCAAAACACTCAGAAGAAGGGGAAGTTATGGCAATCAGAGAAGGTGAGGGAGAGTGAGGCAGTACAGTGAAAAGTGATGGAAGATGAGTGTTGTTCTATTTCCCTCACTTATAAATAATTCTCAGGTAAAATGTTCTTGGTGGAATCATATCCCCACTGAATTCAACTGGAGTTTAGTCATTGACTTCAAAGATGTAGCATCTTACTCTTCATTCACTCTATATTTAACCCAATAATTCTGGAGTTAAAAAGCATATATTTTTTTCACCCCCTTGGCTCATTACAAAGCAAAAAAAGAGGAGGCGGAAAAAGGCTTTTATGCTGTTTATCTAAGTATATAGAAGTGATGCTATTGAGGCCAGAGTTCAAGAGAATTGCTGTACTGACCTTTGTTAAGAATCAGTGTTAATTTCGGCTTAGAGACCCTTCTATTTCCACCTTGCCATTATATAATGACACTTTTTTATGGGATTGTCAGAAGATATCATAAGTCTATCCTAGGAGTAGCACTAGGAAGGAATTGTGCCCTGTTTTTTTCTTTATTTCATGGAAAATAAGACATTGCTGGAGATAACAGTTTTCTGCTTCCCAGGTGCCTGGGGAGACATTTTGTTTCACATTATTTTTCCAAGTTCCACTGGCTTTATTTTGAAAGGATGTAGTTTCTCAGGGACAGGCAGTTATTTCTTCACTCTTAGGTCATGCCCATGCTTCTTAATTGAGTAGCCAATGGCTTACTTTCAAAGGGAGATTTGCACCTCCTTCCCAGATGCAAAGGTAATGATTTGAAGAAACTATTATTGTTTTGTTGCTTATACTGTGGAATTTCCCCATCATGCCTTCAAGCTGGATATCACATGGTGGGGGAGGGAGGAGAAGAAAGGAATTTGTCTGAACTGTGGACAAGTATATCTGAGCTTGCTGCTCAGAGAGCTGGTTGCATGGGATATATGAGATTTATAAGTACGAGACAGCAGATGCATGGGAGGTTGAAAAAGCAACTTCCAGCAGAAATGCAGTGGGCTTCAGTCAAGGCAGTGAGAGCACTGGTAGGTGGGATGTCTTCTTTACATCAATCACAAAGCCTTGGTTTAGTGTAGGAAATGTTAGGGATACTGCACTGACAATGACATTATATGTTGTTTTACAAAGCAGTTAGGTGACTGCTGGTTGTATTTTTCTTTTATTTAGTCTGTGTGCACTTATATACAGATGATCATATATGTTCTTCCTGTCGTGTTGGGTTGTTAACTCAGTAGCTGTTGCCTGCCTAAGCCCCTCTCCATGTGTAATACTGATTAGTCTCAGCTCTTCAGTTCACTGTTAAATCTATATGACAACTGACCATGCTAATTTTCCTAAAACAAAGTAAGGTCTGCAAGAATGAACTTGAAACTCTGTCACAAATTGTTCAATTTTTTTTATTTAAAGCAAGTAGGACTTTTATAGTTCTTTGGTACTAATGCTTACATATAGATGTGTTCATAGTTGGGTCTGTAAATATAAATATTCTTGGTGGGAGACACCCTTAAGGACTGTAGCGGTCTTAGGAAAATAGCATTACTTTTTCCATGTAAGGGTCTACTGTATATGCATTTCTTTGAAGGACAGGGATGTATGCTTCTGTGTTTATAAAATTAATTAAATTCTGGGAAGGAGATTTTCCTGTTGATTTCAGCTAGCCCTGCAGCTAACTGTAATGTACATTCATATTACCACTGGAGTTGTTCTGATCAGAAAGATGTTACCTGCTTAATATTTGAAAACACAGGGCTTGCATAACTTTGTCACTAGTACAGATACTGCAACAGCCAATCTCCTTGTCAGACAGTGTAATTTGTGTTTAATTTTTATCTTTCTGTCATATATTTCCCCTTAAAATCCAAAGGGAATAACAAATAACATGTGAGAAACCGCCTGAAGAAGACAACCTTTCACCTCAGATGTACAAATCAGACTGCACTGTTGTTTCAATCACTTCACTAGAAACAGATGAAAATATAATGAAAAGGTTAAAAATTAGGCAGAGAAAGAAACACAGAAAAGTCCAATATGAGCATAAAGAACTTTCTTGTGAAGGAAGCAGAAAGTCTTTTTTTCAACGCCCATCATATTATATACACTTGCTGACCATTATTATAATTATGTTTCCTCCCATCTGCCATTTAGGAGATTGTCAACTTCAACTGTCGGAAGCTGGTTGCTACAATGCCTCTTTTTGCTAATGCCGACCCAAATTTTGTGACTGCCATGCTAAGCAAACTGCGATTTGAGGTGTTCCAACCTGGAGATTATATCATCCGAGAAGGAGCTGTGGGTAAAAAGATGTATTTCATTCAGCACGGTGTTGCTGGTGTCATCACCAAATCCAATAAGGAGCTGAAGCTGACAGATGGCTCTTACTTTGGAGGTGAGTAGGTAAAAAATGAATGATAACACTGGAGTCAATGCACTAGAACAAAACATGTTCGGCTATCAAAAACATAGAGACATCAGAATAAGTCTACTGAGTGTCTTTTGCCTAAACCGTTCCAACTACAGAGAAGAGTGCACCAAATGTTTCAGAATAAGACGTTCAGAGTCTGCTTACTGTTGTGAGGATAGCTATTAAAGATGCAGAATGACCTTCCTGAATTTTGAAGTTATTTTGAATTAAGAGCGGTGTTATTTAACAGAAAGTAGTTAAATAAACATATAATAATTTGCATAGTAATTTTGCTTTTTGACAGAATTTTAGCATGCAGCAATGTTTGTCCTTCCAGTATATACTATGAGAAACTGGACTCCCTATCTGGCTAGATAGCTCTCTAACAGAAGTATATTAATGAAATGCAGACATGAATTTTAATCCAAATTTGAATCTGAATATTTATATTTGGATGAAAGCAATCTCTTTTTTTACATATAATAATTGACCAGTATGAAAATGTTGTTCCTTGTGAATGCAAATTGTCTTTGTGCACCAGAATAGGTGTCTGCTTCTGTGAGTCGCAGCAAGGCTGGTTTCCAGAAGTTGATTGAACATTTGTGTGTAGCACTGCTGTCCATGACAGTTACAGTTAGTTGGTCATTGTATTACTTTTCTGTTGAATCTCATGAATCATCCCAGAACTCATGCAAATTCCTTTCAGAAAATGTTCACCTGAAAGCCTAATCAGTGGCATTTAGCTGGTATACGGAAGTGGGAAGCTTAGAAAAGTGAATTGGGCTCAGTGTTTGAATTGGGCTATAGAGTTACTTAACTAATCCCATTTTAGAATAATATGCTAAAGCAACTCCTACTGATCTGGCCAGCAGGCCTTGTCACCCTGCAGTAGCCTCTGCAAGGTGATTTGTACCAGTATTTGTAGAAGCACTTCGGTAAAGAGGTCTTGTGCTTATCCCACGGGCTTAGACTGTACATGCTGCAGACAGGAGATTAAGGAGAAAGAAAAGGTAAATGCTGAGGAGGAAGAAACAGAGCAACCTTGGTGTTGGTCTTCTCTATGCTTAGCAGTGCCCCAGTTTATGAAAATGAGTTTGCAAGAGCCTGCGTGCTGAATCTGACCATAATACTCCTCTGAACCAGCAGAGGATCAGAGGGGATTGCGCATGAAAGTATTTTATGTAATGCAGACAAAAAATAAGCTACTTGCAGTATCCAGACACCACAAGAACTTATTACACTGCATACCGAAGCAGTTTTCCTCATCCAGACACCAGCTGGGATGAAGCAAGGGGTACAAACATGGGGGGAAATGCATCCAAAGCCTGGCAGCTGCTGGGTCAAATGGGACATAACAGCTGCTGCTGGATGTGGCCTGAGGAGACAAGGGAAGGAGAAGGAGAAGGAGAAGGAGAAGGAGAAGGAGAAGGAGAAGGAGAAGGAGAAGGAGAAGGAGAAGGAGAAGGAGAAGGAGAAGGAGAAGGAGAAGGAGAAGGAGAAGGAGAAGGAGAAGGAGAAGGAGAAGGAGAAGGAGAAGGAGATGAAAGGAAAGTGGACAGGGAGAGAGAACCTGAGAAAGAAGTGCCCCAAGATCCAGAGTGGTGTGATTCAGAAGTGTGAATTGAAAAGGTTTGGTTAGTCAAAGCTGAAAAAAAAGTAATTCTAATATTCTCATCCCTTTGGAGAAGACACTCTTCCCCTGAAACATGTATCAGAATCTGAGTACAGCTTCTTGACCAAAGCAGACACAAGGAATGTTGCATAGTGATAAAATGACAAGCTGGAAGAGTAAGCCTGTGTTCAAATCCTAAGACAAATAACCCTTCTTTTGCATAATGGAGACATGCAAAATCCGAGATCGAGATACCATTTAAGAAGCTGCAATGTGTGACTTCAACTTCAACTGTGTAGCTCCCAGGTCTGACACAATAAATCAGTATCAACACTTGTGCTCTCACAATCAAGGGAAAGCCACACAGGTGGGAGGGGTGTGCCATACCTAAACATTCTTTTTCAATTTTTAAATGTCTTATGAATTGTAAGTTCCCAGTCCCAGCTCAGAGATGCTAACTGTTGGATATCAGGTATGTCCTGGAGCTGAGTCTCCTGGGGACCCTGTCTCTGGGGAGATTTGGCAAGAGTCCCTGGAGAGGCAGCCTCATCTCCAGAACTCATGAAGGGTCTCACCAACATCCTGCCTTGGATTTGGAAAACATTTATCAAACTTAGAATATGTAAAATGTTTGGGTATTGACAACATCGTATTAATAGAAAACCTATGACACCCTGGAGTTGTTGGAGAACTGGAGATTAGTGTGAAAACCAAGATTTATGAAGAACCAAAGCAGTGTCACCAGTATTTGGGAGAGGCTTGAATGGACACTGTTGGGAGAATGAAAGGCTGGAAAACCAAAAGTTGCGAATAAAGAGAGAAAATAATATCTGGGGGGTTGAAGACTGAGATGCTGCTGAACTTTTAAATTCTTTTGCCTGATCTTTGTTCTTAATTAAAAAACAGGCTTCCCTATGGATCTGGGTGTTATGTCTCACATGTAACTAGATAACTCTTACAGTGGCTTGGAAATTCTTCACAAAAAGAATGTGCCTGTATAACTGTCAATGGAATAGATTAATCAGACTACACTTCACCTCTGCTTTACGTTCTCTGTTGATTTTTGAGGGATGTGTGGAATGGTGGCTCTAGAGAGCCCTCCATAGTTCTGGGATTCATTACCATCTGCCTCTTTCCTCATCTGTGCTCACTGGTTTCTCCTTTCTGGAGGGAAGGAGTAAGTACAAGACAGTAGCCACAGAGATCTTGTAGTTTGCTCATTAGTATTCCTGTGGGAAGAGCATCCTATCCCTTAACTTCATGTGTGTTCATAATCTAATCTTGAACTTTGTGTGCAGGAGCATTACTTAGCCCAGCAGCGTGTAGGATGCTAATTTTCATCCCAGTATGTTTTTTTTCAGACTGCTACTTGAAGGTTATTATCATCCTATATATCTACTCCAAGTGCTAGTAGGAATTTGAAAGTAAATTCTGGTACTATCCTTTTGCCTAGGCCATGTACCCCCTATCCTCACCCCCACTTCGCCTTCGATGAAATACACAAAATGTGTAAGGGAGCGTGTGAGAAATACTGACCTGCCTACGCTCCCTCAGATCTGCAGTCAACATACCAAAAAACAATATCCCCAATTATTAGATGATAAATATGTTCAGAAAAAAGTGTTATTTGAAGTTGACTATGTTCTTTTAAACCTTTCAGTAATGACCACAGAGGAAATGTTTTAAAGAGAGTGCCATAAATTATGTCTTGAACAGACGTGGATCGCTGGAAGGATTGTTTCATAAAGATTCAGGACAATCCATTTTTCCTTTGCCTTTTACTGTCATTTAAAGAAAACAGTAACTTCTGATTGCCTCACCTTAGAATCCCTGCCATCACATGATGTGCTTGTGTGAGTTTTTATAAAAGGGACAGGAATTAGGCTATGAAGAATACATGAAGCTGATTTTCACTATATTGCACAGTTATATAGTCATTTCTACCTCAGTGAAATGATGTAACCCACAGTTACCAGTGGAGAATTCCAAGATTTAAATACTCTATAGCTGCTTTAATGGGATTCTGCAGGACCATATCTTGTTATTTTTTAGGAAATACAGCAATATTTATTTTTCCTAGATATCTATAGATTTTTTTCTGCCTTGCTTCACTTTTTCCCTCTGTTTTCTAAAATGTCTCCCAGTTACCTGTTACTAGGAATGGTATTGCTGCTACTTTCAGCAAAGCGGTAAATGAGTCTTTTCTCTTCGCAAATAAAAGAGAAACTTCTCCCGCTGAGACTGACACAGTTTTCGTATGAGGGGAAACAAGGTTGCCCTGAATGGAAATTATGACCTTCTCCTTCTAGCTGCTTCTGTAGGGAGAGTAAAATGTGAATGAAGAAGGTCAGGAGAAGGTGGATGGTCAGGGCTACGTTAGCACACAGGTCAAAACCATAGGGGAGGTTAGAACAGTTTGGGGAGTGAGATGGGGGTCAACAGAGAGGACTGTGTGGGTAGGAGTCAGGTAAAATGAAATAGAAGACAGAGGAAATGTGCGTGCAGGGGAATGTCATGGGCATGAGATTGATGGGAAAGGGAAGAAAATGCAAGGGGCAAGAGCATGTCTGAACAAGACTAAAGCAACTTCGTGACGCTGGAAAGGAGTGGGAAGGTGCTTACATCTATCCCTTTTGAACAGCAAGTAGGAAAACCTGACTGCACATGTGTTTGCAGCTAAGTTGAATTGCAAGCTTCGGATGAACACACTTGATTTCAGCCTTCCTGGGATGGAGAATAAGAATCAGGAGGCAGGGGACAAATGTTAGCAATTGTGTTCTGAGGATGTCGTGATGGTTAAATTATTTATTTTTTGGTCATCTTGTCCATGGTTTTGAGTATCTGCAGTTTACAATACTGAAAATATAAAGTCTTTGTTAAGTACACAGCAGTGGAGAACGAGAGCTCCCCAATTTTTTTTTTTTTTTTGTCTGTCTCAGTGCATATTTCTGTTTCTCTTCTTCAATACCTTGGTAGTTCAAACTCATTTATACTATAATCCCAGGAATAAGTGGTAGGGAGGAAATTGCTAGTTTTCCATCCTACTGAACCTTTTCCTCTGGGTACCAGGTGATGACATTAGAAATTACTCAAAGGCTTCTTGTGACAGAAGGAATTACGGGACAGATTGCATATTAATTCTTCACTAGACACATAAAATTGGTAAAATGCAAAGATTTTGAAGTCTTTACATGTAAAGCACAAGAATGTGAGTCTTTTACTTATAGAGAAGCATAGTTCATCATTTACTGAGGCTTTACAAAGCAGAAATAAAAATGTATCTATTGAGCCTAATACTAATCTAATTTACATGATACCAATATATATTGGTATTAACTGGTGTAGTACCGCTGCTATGAGGCAATTCTGATTT